AGGACAAGCTGAACGGACCTGTCGAAGCATCAAGATCCATCTTGAATGCAGCCATAACCAAGCCCTCACGCATTCCTGTCTGCTTCTCAGATTTCTGTCCACAGGAGGGACAACAGTAAAAAACGCTTTTGTTTTTTTCATGTGTAATTATTTTCAACCACTGCCCACATACACTCTGCACAGGGCATGGGGCTGTAACTCTGCTTGATGTTTTGATTCTACTCTGAGCAGACTTCAGTAATCCGTTCCAGAGAAAGGGCGTGGGCCAAAACAGAGAGACAGTGTAGCAAGATACAGACAAGTCAAGACAGTACCGAGCATGTCAATGCTGTGTGGCAGCGGAGATAGCCTGCAGCAACACATCATCTGAATCCCAGATTTCATTACGAAAAATTTTCCCCAGTTCTCGGACTTTAAGTTTTTTTAGTGGTTGTCTTCTTATTTTTTATTCTCTGTCTTCCAATCTCTGTCCCGTATCGTACTATTTTCAGCATGTATGAGGTTTGATGGGAACAGAAAAGGGGAATTACACAGTGTCTGATCTCTGCATGACTGTGGTTTTTGGTTTATGGTTGAGAGTTGGAAGCGGGACGACAGAAACCAGTCACAGAGGAGTCAATTTAGTTCATGGACAGAAAAACAACAGACCACCAAACCCAGCTGTCAATCAGGTACAGATTAGAACCAAGGACAACACTTTGCACCTGTCCCACTGGTGAACTCCCTGTGTCAGCCAGTCCTACAGAACCTCCTGCACAGAAAATATACAGTGTCTGAAATGCCGCACATTTTTGCAAGGTCAAAATTCCCCAAACCTTGCAGCAGGTGGGGGGAAAAGATGAGGAATTTTCCTTTGTCTGCACGCATTTAGCCTGTGACAGTATGCTGGAAAAGGATTACATCATCACTGTTGTAGCGTCCGGGCCCTTTGGTTTCCTCCATTGGTTGGGATACAGTGAACCGTCTGATCCAGACAAAGACGGAGCATTCCAACAGCTTAGAAAGCAGGAAAGGGAGAACCACTGTCACGCCTCTTGCTTGTGGAGAAAAAACACTGCAGGTCACATTATCATCACATCATTTGATTTCTGACTGACTTATTTCCTCTTTCCTTCGTGCCATTTCAAGCTGTTACTCAGGGCCATGTCAAAAGTCAGGAATATGTGACTCACTCTGGTTTATGTCACAATGAATAAGCATGAAGAAACTGGCCTTGTAGCTGACACTGACCGTGTTGATGATCCAAGGCCATATCTCGAGGTCTGTTTAGTTTGTCATCCACTCTGCCATCAGTAAGAAACAAGAGGAGGTGGGAGGCACACAGGCTTCAGAGCAGCCAGGCGGGCGCACAGGCTTCAGAGCAGCCAGGCAGGCAGAGACGCACATTCCCAAAAGGTGAGCTCAAGTACTTTGTGATGGAAACTGAAAGAATCAGCCCATCACTGTGGAATGAGTGGCAAATTAAAATAATTAAACCAATAAAAACAATGCACTTTCAACTTGAGAATTATTCAAAACAACAATTAATTTCAGTATTTCGTGATGGCCATTTAGCATAATTACAGCCTACACATTCCGGAATGGCCAATTATAAAGCAGTACAACGCTCCTCTTGTTATCTTTTATCTTTGCTCAAGCTATTCCCCTGAAGCCAGTGCACAAGAGACAATAGAAACATAAGCTCAATTTAGCAACAGGAAGCATCGTTCTGAATGTGTGAGCATGTAGGAAAGACACTATTACAAATGAAGCATGACGACAAGTACTACTGTTATGTGATAAGTATAAAGCAAAAAAGTGAAAATAGAAACAGTGTCCTTCAGTGACAGAACAGGGAGAGGACCATTTATGCTGATAAGAAATGTGAGAAGCAATAACTTTTTTTCCTTCAAAAGACAGACATGCTTAGAGTTTCTTTGTAGATGCATTTTTATAAAAAGTGCAAACTGATGTTGTCAACCTGCCGTTTCTCATATGGCTCACACTACAATGGCTGCAAACTAGTGCCCCTAAATGAGCCATGTTAAAGCCCATGGTGTTCTATCTTATCATAACCTTGAATGGCATTTTTGTCAGCAATAAAAAGCACCGAATTCTTGGCCCACCATGGCAGATTAAAACAAAACGAGCATGCTTCCCCTCATAGTGATATACAGCTGCAGATTTGGCCTTAGATTGATTCTCTTTAAGAAATCCCATCACAGAAAGCAAGAAGTCTGGCATGAATAATATCTCAGATTTAGAAGGAGAAAAGATTAGATCAGACTCACCAGTTAAAACGGCAGCGGAGTTGTATGATCACTCACCGCAGGTCAGTGATCAAGCCTATCAAGAACACCATAAAAATCCTTGATCCTTGCCCAAAGCTAAACTCCAAAGCATCCGTTTTTCATCTGACTAACGCCAAGTTATCCAACTCCGACAAGCACTGCTTCTGGAGCCGCCACTTGACTCACTAAGAGGGGCACCCAGTGATTTTTAACTTCCTCCCTGCATAGTTGACTAGTTTGTTACAGTCGACATTGTGTAAATATCAGACACAGTACTGTAAGCTGTGTGCTTAAAAGGATGGCACGGTTTTCTGGTTGTTATCAAAACAACCCTCAGCTTCCCTTGCAGCCCTGCATTGCCACATCACTCCTTCCATGTCTGTGTTGGACAAAAGGTTGGGCTTGTGTACATTCTGCACATTAAACATAAACACAAACCTGGTAAAGGTTTGTCTTAATATGGTTACTATCTGATCAAAATGCTAGCGTATTGAGCATTCTGTAAGGGCCCTGCCAGTCAGGTGTAAACAAAGGAGAGCTCTCAGGGCCAGGCAGAAGTGGTACAAGGAAATCACTTGGCGTCTGAAATTGATCCTAGAGTGGCAACAACACGGGGTTGCAACACCATGCTGAAAAGAAAATCGGTGATGACAGTTATACAAGGAGACATCCATACGACGTGGTCTGCACAACGCCACCTGTACATCTTCTCTTCAAGGCAGTGCTGGGGACAGTGCCCTTGACAGATACAACGACGCAGCGGATGCATATGTTTTAACAGCCGCCGCCCCCCGAATGACAAACGTCTCTTACCCATTAGTAAAAAAAAACACACTGGCCCCACACTACACCTTCACACAGCACAAAGATGTGCTTCGTCCTCAGCGCCCGATAGATGTTGTGTGCACCTCGTACAGCACACAACACAACGTTCCCGTCTCACCTTTTCTCCTTTCTGCCTCAAGCTTTTGAATGTTACACAATAGTGAGCGGGGTTTCCTCCTTCTGTTTCAACTCGTAACAAGGTCCGATAAGTATGAAACACAAACTGCATTACCGCGCTTCCTTACCTTCTAGGAAGACGTGCTGGTTCTGCTTCAAACCTAAAATGCCCCGTTGCGTTCCTTCCGAAAGGGAACTTACAAGTTTGAGAAAAAGTTGCGTGTTCGCCTCGCTGCGCTATGCAGCTGCTGGAAGGATGAGATCATTCAGGCAACCTCCCCTCTCTCTCTTTCTCTAGTTCTGCCCCCGAGTCTCGCGAGAAGGTTTCGTGGCAAAAGCAAACGTTACCGTGGCAACAGTGCTCACCTGTAGAGGGTAGACGGAGAGGAATGAAAATGAAGAGTCCTCACGCTGCTGTAAAAGCATAGGTTGAAGGCTATACAAGGTAATGCGAGCCAGCTAAATTCCTCTATTTTTCACTTAGAACGTTTACTTACACACTATTTTAAAACGTGTACCTTTAAACCTGGTCATATTTTATCAAAGTGTTTGTTTAAAACATCTAATTAAAGTTGGAAACAGGTTCAATGCACTTTCTATAGCTGCTTTAAGTAATATTTACCACTTTATCACTGCAACACCTCAACTCCCTACAGAACTATGCAGGGGTCCTCTTTGTGGACTTCAGCTTGGCATTCAACACCATCATCCCAGACATCCTCCACTCCAAACTGACCCAGCTCACTGTGCCTGCCCCCACCTGTCAGTAGATCACCAACTTTGTGACAGACAGGAAGCAGCAGGTGAGGCTGGGGAAAATCACATCCAGCACCCAGACTATGAGCACAGGTGCCCCCCAGGGATGTGTGCTCTCCCTGCTGCTGTTCTCCATCAACACAAATGGCTGCACCTTGGAGGACCCCTCTGTTGAACTGCTAAAGTTGCTGTCTGTTGCTTAGTGACAAGCAACAGAGATGCTTGTCACTAAGCATGTGGCACAACGGTCATTGGTCTCACCTGAGACGGTGACAAGTCGGCATACAGACGGGAGGTTGAACAGCGGGTCCTGTGGTGCCGTCCCAACAACCTGGAGTTGAAAACAATGGAGATGACAGTAAACATTAGGAAGATCCCCCCTCACCATACTCAGCAGCACTGTATCAGCAGTAGAGTCCTTCATGTTCCTGGGCTCCACTGTCTCCCAGGACCTGAAGTGGACCAACATCAGCACCATCACCAAGAAGGCACAGCAGAGGATGTACTTCCTGCATCAGCTTAGGAACACCTCACGGGTCAAGAGAAAGGCAGAGAAGATTTCTGCAGACTCCTCATATCCTGGACAGTTAGAACTCCTGGGCGGCTTTACAGGGGCCCGTTTCAAGAAGGAGGTTTAACAAACTCAGAGTTCAGGTTTGAACACTGTATGATTAAAGTGTAAACGTACGCATTGACTCGGGCAGCTATGGGGAAAAACCGCAAACCTATTTTTGCTTGGTCCTGTTGCCATGGTGGCTCGTAATGTCTTCACTCCCTTGTTCAGGGCTTTTTATAGTCGCGTGGCACGCGCCTAACTCTCAGTCAAAGTGAGTCAAAGTACTCAGAGTTGATTAAACCAACTCTTTTCAGCTATTCTGAAACCGAAAACTCAAAGTTTTCCAACTCTGTGTAAGTCAACTCAGAGTTCAGGTTTGAACTCTGAGTTTGTTAAACCTCCTTCTTGAAACTGGAGTCAAATTCCTCATGTGTCCAACACACCTGGCCAATAAAGTTAATTCTGATTTTCTGGTGAATTTTAATTGTTTAGATAATAGCTTATTTGGACCAAAACATGCAAAAAGAAAAAAAAAGTATTTTTGAGAGACTGAGTTTGTGTAATACTTTGAACAAATGTAGATGTTATTCAGTTGTTCCTTGTTTAATTCTACCATTTTAGTAAGCCTATATTATTTTTGAGAATTCATTTGGGGTGATTCATCTTTCAAACAAACATCGTTGGTGGTATTTTTCTGCAAGCTGTGAGTACAGGACAGCAGAGCAGAGCCCCCTGGCATTCCTCCTTCAATATTTGCTGCTTTTAATAGGCTATATTAATGACCCTGTGTATCACGACACCACAGTTTTATATTTACGATACAAGCCAAGAGTCAAGCGACAATGGATGTTTCACTGTTGTCACACATGCCCCATGCAGCAACCTGTCAAAGACATGGACAGGCCTGTGACTCTGACATCATCAGCTGATGTGGATTTGAGCAGAGGTGCAGAAAAAAATATAGGGCTAATCTGCAGAGCTTGTATAGTAAACTAAAGATGAACAAGAGCTGATTACACAGAAACAAGATTGATGCTTCCCTAAACACATGACTTAGTACTCATCTTCAGGCATAAAGCATATCTGCAGCTGTACAAGCTTCTGTTAGTGGAGAAAGAAGAGGTCAACCATAAAGAATGAATCAGCATGCTAGATGATACGTAATGCAGACTAGTGGCCTAAGAGCCATTTTAGAGTGCGTTATAGCACACAATGGCAACATGCATCATAATTCCACAACCCCACACCTCATTACTATGTCAACACAGGGCTGTTTCAGACATGACTGCAGCTATTTTTGTCAACTTTACATTAAAAGGCACACATTCTTATAGCAGGTAAGTATGGCTCAATTACACAGAGATACAGCAGGGAGACAGAAATGTCCTTTTACTGTTTTATTCCAGTGCAAACATTTTGAGTGTATGTGATGAATACTAATTCATCAAAGCATGACAGGAGTTGCCTGTTTGTATGATCAAACCAGCAGCACCATCTGCTGACCAGGTTAGCATAGGACAGGAAACTAAAGTACAAGCATGAGGAAATTTTCTGTTTCTCTGTACACCCACGTTTGGATCTATACTGCAAAATCCCTTGCCATGACAATACATTTCCAAAATGTTTGAGAGAAGATATTGAATTCATTCATCCACTATTTTAAGCGCTTATAAGACATCAGATAATATTCCCTAGGCTTTTCAGAATATCACCCTCATTTAATAAGTCTTAAAAGTGTGGAGGATGGCATATTAGCTTTGACATTTACAGATAAGTCATTAAGCGATAGAGACTTTTCTTAAGTCTTGGTTAATCTTAACAGTCTTTGGATGTCAGGCTCCATTTCAATGGTGGGGAACCTTTTGCTGTATCTTTTAAAGGGCTCTCCCTCAGGCCCAATGAGAAATTTCTCAG